TCCTGACAAGTCTCACAGCTTCTTCCTTTGCCCTATTGAAGTATATTCACAACATACTAGTCGGTGATTTCATTAAATCACAAACATCATATCACTAGTCTTTGAAAATTCGTTAAAGGCTTTCCAACTAATTTGGAGTGAAAGCAAAATTCCTATAAGATTTTAAACGAACTACCTCACATAAATTTTCTAATCATAACTCCCAACTATTCTCTTCACCTCCTTATTCTACTCTAGCCTCAAGCATACCAATGCCGCTTTCACAGCATAGCTTTTCCCCTTGTTTGTATACTCTTCTTTTAAATGTATACATGACTTGCTGCATTACCTACTTCAGATATTTTCTTTAATATTGCCTGTAAGTAAGGCAGTCCTTAACTTCATTATTTAATGTGATAAAGACCGCCCTCAATCATTCCAGTACTCCCTGTCTCCACTCTCTGCTTGCTTGCTCCCCTTCCCCTTTTATTTTTTAAAACCTATCATCATCTGACAAACTGTGGATTTTCATTTATTTTGTGTAGTATTTGTTTCCCAGATAGAATGTAGGTTCCAAGAGAGCAGGGGACCTTCTCTACTTTGTTCACCACTGTGTTGTCACTGTTGTGTAGTTGTGTTTTTGGTACCTAGAATAATACTTGAAACATAATAGGCACCCACAAATATTTGAATGAAAGAATGAATATACTCTACAATACTACTTACTGCCTTGCACTGCAATTTATCTCTTCATAGGTACATAGTAAGCACTCAATAAATATATGTTGAATGAAGACAAAAAAAGCCTTTTATAAACTGTAAATCATGCAAGCAGTGCCTAATTATTATGAAACAGCACCCTGTTTCTCACTAGGCCAGATGGAGGATATTGTTTATTGCTGATTCTGATGTCTACAGCACATTATATTTTCCAAAGCATTTTATGAACATTCTCTGGTATGAATCCCATACTAAACTTGCAGATACCAGTATTTTCACATTTTAAGAAAAAATGCAGAAATCCATAGTAAAGTATCTTGTCCAGGGTCAGTGATAGCTCAGGACTGGGATTCAGATTCCAAGCCCTATTAATCTCTTATATGACTTTATACTAACCCCACAAGAAAATAAACATATTGGCTGGAGTGATGGTTCATCAGTTAGAAGCACTTGCTATTCTTCCATAGAACCCGGGTTCAGTTCCCAGCTCCCACAGGGTAGGTTACAGCCATCTGAAACTCCAGTTCCAGGGACTCCAACACTCTCTTCTGGCCCATGTGCACATGACATGGACATGGTACACTTACATACATGCAGGCAAAACACTCATACACATAAAAAAATAAATAAATCAGGAAAAGAAAATAAACATATGAATAAACACGACTTGAAGAATTTTTTGTTGTTAATATTTTTAACAATTTCATACATGCATAAAATGAATTTGGTCCTATTTTCTCATTCCCTTGTCACTGCTGCTGGATCTCTTTTTCTTCACAACCTGTGCCCCTCTAACTTTCTTTTTTACATTTTTCTATTTATTATTTTTATTCTATGTTTATGAGAGTATTGCCTTCAGGTATGTAAGTGCACCTGTGTCATGCAGTGCCCACAGAGGCCAGAAGGCGGTGATAGATTCCCTGGAACCGGAGTCATGGACTGTTGCCAGCCAGCATGTGTGTACTGGGAATCAAACCTGGGTCCTCTGCAAGAGCAGCCAATGCTCTTAACTACTGGCCATCTCTCCAGTCCCCATTTATTTCTATTTTTATGACCTATTGACTTTAATTAGGATTGCTTACATGATCATGGATGTATGGTTATTTACCAGTGACTACATTACTGAAGAAAAATGACTTTTATGCCCCAAGCAACCACTAACTGCCAATTGCTCCTCAGCTAGGGGTAAAGCCTCATGAAGTCCTCTCCCACCCATGCTGTAATGTTGCTATAATGTTGAAGGATTCAATCTTGTGCAGATCTTATGCATGTAGCCAAAGCTGCTGTGAGTTCATGGCAAATGCCATGTCATGTCCAGAAGACAAGGTTTCATATCAGTATTCTTTTCTCCTACTCTGGCTCTTACCTGCTTTCCATCTCCTTCTTATTATATTCTCTGAGTCTTTGGAGGATGATACAGATGTCTTTTTTATGTCTGAGTACTCAACAGTCACTTATTCTTGGCATTCTTGGGCACTTTGATCAGTTTTGATTCTCTGCATTAACCATTGCCCACTGCACAAGGAAGCTTATCAGACCAACCTGAAAGCAGCACTAGTTTATGGGTATAAACATACATATTTGGAAGGAAGTTTGACCGCATGTTCATTTAATAAAATAACAGTAATAGGCTTCACCCTATGGCCCAGTCATAGGTTTTTAACCAGGTATATAGTACCAGGCATGTATTCTGTTTCATGGGAGAGACCTCAAATCCAATCAAAAGACAGCTGGTTATCCCCATAACAGTCATGCCACTATTACCCCAGTGGGCACATCTACTGCTGCAGGCTGGTATTGTAGCAACGCACGGTCCACTTCTGGGTGTGACTGTTGATGTCTTTTCTGCCCCAGGGCCTACATAGCACCTTCCAGCACTACAAAGGCTAGAAAGGATAGAAGAAGCTTCTAGCTCAATACTAGCTTGATTATCCTGTCTTAAAACCAACGGGTATGATGTCTTCAGCAATGTGATCTTCCTGTCCAGTTCTTGTGGATAACCAAGAACAATGGCAATAGTCTGTGTTTGGAGAGCCTCTGGTACCTCTCTGACCAATAACTCACAGGGTAGTATGCTGTATTTAGCCCAGGAATTATTAGTCAATAAATTATGGCTTCTTGGAGAAGCACTATCCACCCATGCAGAGTACTTCTGTTCAACGTCTTTCCTTTTTAATTAATTATATTTTAAAATTAAGTTACATTGTAGTAGGTTTCCAATAGCATTTTATACATCCTTAGTTTTCATTAACCCTTCCCTATGCCCTCATCTTCCCCATCTTCTTACTCCCATCCCTGCTTAAGCTTCTCTACCCCAACTATTCTGCTCTCTATTTTCATATCACATGTGTACTACTATCCTATCCTAACTTTAATTTCTTTCCCCCTACCTCATGCCCCCTTTTAGCTTCCTAGCTTATACAGACACTACAAGTTAAGTTGTTTTGTTTTGTTTTCGAGAAAGGGTCTCACCATATAGCCTTGTTGTTGTCTCAAACTCCCACATGCAGGAATTACTTGTGCCCACACCCATTAAAAAAAAAGAATTCTTAATTAGTAGAGATTATGACCATTTTGACCAGACCCAAAAGTAGTTTTTCTACTCAACTTCTATATTGTTATTTATATGCACCATTCACTTGGTACAAGGCTTATCCTGCGTAGAGAAAAATATGAGTTTCCTAAATAAAACGTCAAAAACCGATCTAAAATTTCCTACTGTGAGATATCTCTCATCCTCTTTCTGCATAGATATAAGGGAATTAGTGTCTAGTATTAGGGAACTGATGAATAGAGGGACTAATGGATCACGAACAAGACTTCTGTAGTCTTTACTCATTTTGAGTATGGGAAATTATAAAATAGCTTGGCTGAAATGTTCTTTTATCTCTCGTGTGTTGTCTCTTATTCATTTTAATCATCTAGGTAGTTGTGTATCAGTTAAGAACTCTCTAGCACAAAGGCATATTAAAATGGGGTTACAGTCAAAGAGGAATCTCTTGGGAAGCTTGCAGACTAATTACAGAGAGGAAATAATGAACCTGCATAGTAAGAGCTAAAAGTTGAAAGCACTGTTATGGGAAACATGGGAACAAAATCAAGCTAGGGTATTCCAAGCCCTGAGGACGCTTTTCCAAATATGGGGAATGGGGAATATTCTTAGATAACAGGGCTTGATGTCTCAGAATAGAAAAATGTGTAAGATATGGGCTTGTAGATTGCTAGGCAATAGAGGGGAGTTAGCTGGTCATTCTGGAAACTACAATAGGATAAACTGTAAAGTATATCCTGAAAACACTGAGTTCCATGTGGCTGGTATAAGAGAGGAAAGTGAGTGCTAAGGATTCAGAAGAAGGTTAAGAATAGTTTCTTTTTAAAAAAAATTATTTATTGAAAGGTGAGCTACAAATTAAAGGGGAAATATCTAGACTTAAGCCCTCTAGGTCATCCACACCCTTCAGAATCTCTGCTCCCAAAAATCTATCTTGGCCTTGTGAATTTATGACCGCAAACAATTTCTCTGAGAGAGCCCCATGCTCGGATTCCAAGAAAGTAATGAAAGAAGCAAAAGACATTGTCCTCTAAGAGATTATAATCACCATGGGGGGGATTTCAGGTCTTACATATATAATTAAGAGCTGGAGGGTTTGGAAAGATAGCTCAGTGATTAAGAACACTGACTTTTCTTGCAGAAGACCTGGGTTCAAATCCTAGCACCCACGTGGCAGCTAACAACTGTCCATAACTTCAGTTCCAGGGGATCTGACAGTCTCTTCTGTCCTTCACAGGCATTGCATGACATGGGTGTACTTACCTACATGCAGGCAATAAACGCATACACATAAAATAAAAATAATAAATAAACTATTTTTTTAAAAAGGGCTGGAGGGATGGCTTAGCCATTAAGAGCACTGGTTGCTCTTGCAGAGGACCTAGGTTAAGTCCCCAGCTCCCACATGGCAGCTGACACCCATCTGTTACTCTAGTTCTAAGAGATATGACACCCTCTTCTGGCCTCCGTGGACATTGCACACAAGGGTACACTTCCATACATGGAGGCAAAACACTAATAACCATAAAATAGATAAATAAATGAATGCAATTACAGTAAAACAAAAAGTCTAGAAGTCTAGTGGTCTGAAGGAACTACTGTTTTCCAAAGCATATTCCTTGCATCCCCAAACACATACACAATTCAGGTCTGGGATCTTTCTTTCCCCTCAGGACTATGCTAATTTAGAAGGTAAAATATATAACACTAGATTCAAATTGCAGGTCAACATCAGATGAGGTTTATTTACTTAAAAGCGGGCCATTTGTTGAAGAATGGCCTCTCTCATGTAACCTGCTATCTCAAAAGCTTTGAGATTGAGAGGGCCCCCTTCTATCCCCCTTTTTCCCATCACCACAAGGTACACAGACTCCATTTGTACTATTGCCACTGCCTGGCTACCTCGACTTTGGCCTTTTGTACGCAGATCCATGCTATTGTTGCCCTCAGTGTATAAGTTGTCTCGGATTAATAAGCATTTGATCCCAGCAATGGTGACTCCCTGAAGAAATAACTTTTCTCTTTCCTCTCTTGCCAGTAAGAACTGGATTTCTTCTGGAGTTATCAGGAAGAAGTTGCCTTCAGGAGAAGAAGCCAATAACCAGGGAGGAGAGTTGGTGATAATTGCTGCATCAGAGAAAATCTCAGTTTGCTGAAAGAGATTCATGAAGTCTTGCCAGACGTCTGGAATGATGTCCTCTAGGCACTGCATGGTTCAAGTAAGCTGTCCCTATAAGGCGAATAAAGAGGTTTTAGAAGTTTGGTCTTTAAAAAAAAGTTTGTTGGCAGTTGGATCAAGAAATTTTATCAGCTGAGATTGACATACCGTAAAAATGAAGTCTATTTCTTGAGGCCTCTCTTGAGTGGCAACTTGAAGAGGTTTGGTGACTTTGATGAAGTTGTGTCCCAGCTGCCCCCTGCTACCTCTGAAGCAGGAGCGAGGTCACCAGGGCTCTGTGACTTTTCTAATAGTCATAATTAACTACATCATCAGCAGTCTCTGGCTGTCTCTAAGGTTGGCAAGGTAAGGGAAAAAGTCTACCTACTTACTTCCCTAGTTACAGCAGTTCCCAATAGGTAATTAGAACATAAACAAGTGAAAATTGAATTATAAATTTGAATGCACAGCAAGGCAGGTGAGATTGACTGTAATAACTATTATTTAATTTGTTGTCTTATGTTTCAGGGAACTGAGCTCTAGGTACAAAATCAAAAGGCTCACATGCTCACCAATTCAAAACGTCTGTGAGACAAGTATAACATCCTCTTAGGTGGTTTCTTTGCCGCCATAATCTTTCCCTTTGTTTGACCCTCTAGCCCACACTGACTTTAAATTTGATCATTAACTATTATTAGTCATTCAGCTAGTGTCAAACACTCACTATGTGCCAAGTATTTTTCTAAGAATCTGGGTAGTGAATTAAACAGACAAATCATAGGCCTCATGGAACTGAAAGAAAGTTATAAATTTAAAAATGGTGTTACTTTCACATAAATATTTTATAAACAATATTTTCCTCCAAGTTTTCTCACTCATTCCCTGGGTTTCTTATTCCTGTTCTAAGCCCATTTTGATAATTGACTCTTTGAAATATCAATTTGCATTAGATAGAAACAATATTGGCAATCATTGATGCTAATTATATAAAAAAATCTATGACAGCTCTGCAAATTCATTCATTCAATAAATATTTCTTAACTCTTGTATACAAGACCTATTCCAGACTTTGGAGATAGTTCCTGTCTTCATGAAGATGACATAATAGAGAGAAAAATAACAGGTGACAAGCACATTTATAATATATCAGATGGCATTGATAACTGTGACAAAAAAGAAGTAGAGAATGTTGGAGAAGTGGTAGTAGCTTGATTTCATATAAGGTGTTTAGAGAAGGACTCTCTGATATAAAGACATTTGGTCAGAGAACTGACAGAGATCATAAATATGTAGCTATCGAAAGGAAGAAAGCATTCTTGGCAAGAGGAAATAACAAATGTAAAGGGCCTAGTGCAGGAACATGCCTAGCATATGTAAGAAATGACAGGGCAGCCCATGTGACTTGAGCAGAGAGAGTAGAGTAATAGAAGATGTAGCCAAGAGGTACTGTGCTGAAATCATACGTAGGGCTTCACAGGCCATGACTAAGCATGTGGCTTCTATTTAGAGATCAGGAGCTATTAGAAGATTTTAATCAAATACTAACCTCATTCTTGACTCTAGAGTCTCAAAGATGCTATGTACAGAATAGATTCTAGAGGGATTAGGATCATTTCCTAGAAACCAGTTAGTAGTCTGTGACAATAATCTAGCCAAAAGGAACTAGAAGCCTGGCCTAGGTACAGGTTGAAAAATGGTTGGATTTGGAAGTCATTACGAAGGAAGAAGTCATTGGGTTTGATATGTCACACACAAAATACAAGAAAAAGATTATAAGAGAATATAAGAGAAAGATCCTAGGATTTTGGCCTGACCACCTCTGCTATGGTTTAAATATTTCTGTCTCCTTTGAAACTGATGTTGAACTTTAATCCCCAATTTAATAATATTAAAAGAAGGATGTGATGGTATATGTCTGTAATATCACCTCTCGAGAGCCTGAGGCAGGAGGATAAAGAGTTTGAGGGCCACGCGGGCTACATAGAGAGATCCCATGTTTTTAAAACAATGTTCCTCAGAGATGAAGCCTTTAGGAAGTAATTAGGCCATGAGGGCTCCCGTAATATATGTGATTACTGTAACCTCAGCTTTTAGAAGGCTGAATCAACAGGATACTAAGTTCCAAGCCAGCCTGGGTTGTAGAAACTAGTGAGAATAAGTCACAAAATAATAAAAGAAAACAGGAAAGGAAATAGGGAGGTAAAGGAAAAGAAAGAACCTGAAAGAGAAGAACAGTATGAAACAGGCCTTAATAAGGGAGATATGGATAAAGATTTGGCTAGTTTAAGGGAGTGGGGAGGGAAGGGTATACAAGGAACCTAGGGCATAAAGGGAAAGAAGGAGCTCCAGAGAGGTAGGGCTGTAGGAGAAGGGTATTAGTAAGGGAGAAAGGGGGGGAAATGGGGGCACCTTAAGTGGGAAAACCATGATGGAGTTGTGAGACAATGCGAGAGATAAATAATGCCTAGCTAGTTTTGAAACCAGAGGGAACCATAGTACTCCTACAACCTACTGACAAATTATACATAGCAGATCAAGAAATATATGTCTAGGTAAGGTTTATCTGAGAACAATTGGTCTTTGCCCAAGACTTATTTATCTACATAACACACAGTAATTAAAAGTACCAGACTAGTGGAACTAACCTTCTTGGATGTTTAACAGACTACTTTGAA